ATCGCTTTTTTTTTTTGTGACGGCCGCGCTCCAGTCGCCGTCGCTGCTGCCGCCCCTTCGCGGTGCGCAGCTGTTCAGAAACGTGGGGGAGAGGCGCACACTATTGGGAGGATGAAGGGCAATGAAAAAAAACAAAAACAAAAAAAGACCGACGAATACCACGCCCCCGTCAAGAGTCATGCGCCGCATTGCATCCCACACACACACACACACGCATACAGACGACAGAAGGAGAACTTCGCATCACTGCGAGAACAGAACCAGAAATTATTCCTACATTTACCAGCGCACACGCTCACGCAGAGGCTACATGGTGGCGGCCAGGCGGCAATATATGTCCTTGGCAACACTTGTGTGCATGTCGCGGTCCACGCGGGCCCGGCGGAAGGCGTTCACACTCTTCACCGCGAGGTGGTGCTCCCGCACCTGCTGCCACATGGCCTGCGCCAGCAGCCGCCGCCCCAGCTGCAGATCGACGCCGGCGCCCTCCCGCATCGAATGCGCCTCCACGTCGGCTGCCAGCTTCACCGCCACGCGCCGCGCCTCGGGCTCCATGTCCTCCGTCTCCGCACGCACCTCCGGCAACGGCGGCTCCTCCAGCGGCACCAGGCGCGAGACCACCCCAAACACGAGAGTCAACAGCGACAGCGCCAGGCACCCAAACCACTGATCCCCCCGCAGCGGGACAACCTGCATAAAGCTTCCAAGCATCTCCACACAGAACACCTGGAACGCAAAGCAAAAGGCAACGACGCCGACAAACGTCCTCGAGCGCTCCCACAACCCTTCGAAACAATTCAACTCCTCGTACACCTTGCGGGCGTTGAACATATGAAAAATAACCGAAAGCAGATAAACATTAAACACAATAGTCTGCATCTCCGCCCCACTCACGCCAAACCAGGCCGCGCCAAACCTTTCCACCAGCAACGTGCTGAGTATTTGGTAGCCAGCGATGGTGCAAATGGTGCACCACATGCGGTGTGACACGAGTGCGGCTCTGCGGGGAACGGGGCCGCGGCCCAGGCACGCCTCCGACGGCTCCTCCGTCGCGAGGGCGAGCGCGGCCAGCGTGTCCATTATCAGGTTCACCCACAGCAGCTGCACCGTGCTCAGCGGGGAGGTGTGCGTGGGGGACACAAACGAGCCGACAAACGTCAGCACAACGCTCGAGACATTCACCGTCAGCTGCAGCTGCAGGAACTTGCGGATGTTGTCGTTGACCGTCCGCCCCCAGACGACGGCGCGCTGCACGGAACGGAAGTTGTCGTCCAGCAGCACAATGTCCGACGACTTCACGGCAATGTCCGTCCCGCTCCGCATCACGAAGCCGACGCTCGCCAGCCGCAGCGCGGGCGCATCGTTCGTCCCGTCCCCCGTCACCGCCACCACCTCGCCGCGAAGCATCAGCATCAGCACCAGCAGCTGCTTGTCCAGCGGCTGCGAGCGCGCCATCACCACCATGCGGCCGAGGATGGGCCAGAACCTCTCCATGTTGGCGCTGTTGCCGTACGAGTCGTACACCAGTCTGCGGAACTCCCTCCCGGTCATCGCCACGTCGCCGCGCAGGCGGTTGTAGATGCCGCACTGCCGCGAGATGGCCACCGCCGTGTCCAGGTTGTCGCCGGTGCACATCCGCACCGTCACGCCGGCGTGCTGGCACTTCCGCACCGCGTCCGGCACCTCCGGCCGCAGGGGGTCCTGGATGCCCACCAGCGCCAGCCACACCAGCGGCACCGTCGGCTCGTCGGCGGGAAGCGCGTCGCCCGCCACGCGCCCGTACGCCACGCCAATCGTGCGGTTCGCGTCGTTCGCGAGGGAGCGGATCTGCACCACGATCTTCGTCCGCACCGCGTCCGTCAGCGGCTCCTCCGCCCCCGCCGCGGAGTAGTAGCGGTCGCACATCTCCAGCACGCGGTCCGACCCGCCCTTCACGTGCTGCGTCAGCACCCCGCCCGGGCCCACCGCCACCACGCTCATGAACTTGCGCTCGCTCGTGAACGGGAAGATGGCAAAGCCGTGCGCGCGGCCCCGCTCCCGCACGCGCTGGTGCGGGCGGCTCGTCAGGTCGTCGCGGTCGGCCTCCTGCAGCAGCACGCGGTCCACAAAGTCCAGCAGCGCGTTGTCCGTCTTGTTCCCCTTGTCCGCCCGCCACTGCCAGAACGGCCGCGCCACGGGCTCCCCGTCCTTGCCGGCGCGGCACACCACCTTCTCGCTCGAGCTGTTCAGCGCAAGCCCCTCCACCAGCCGCTCACGCGCCGCCGCCGCCACGTTCCCCAGCACAATCGGCGCCGGCACGTCCCCAGGCTCCCGCACGCTGAACCGCTGCATCCCGACGTACCCCTGCACCACGCTCATCCGGTTCTGCGTCAGCGTCCCGGTCTTGTCGCTGCAGATCTGCGTCGCACACCCCATCGTCTCGCACGCGCACAGCCGACGCACCTGGTTGTTGTCGTCCTGCATCTTCTTTTGCGAGTACGCTAGCGCAATCGTCACCGCCAGCGGCAGGCCCTCCGGCACCGCCACAACCACGATGGTGACACACAGCAGGAAGTAGTCCAGGAACGCCTTCATGCGCAGCTCCTCCGTGTCACGGATGACGCGGAATATCTCCGACAGCGAGAGCAGCGAGAACAGCAGCACCGCGCTGCCCATGCCAAACCGGCCAATCAGCCCCGCCAGCTCGTCCAGGCGCTCCTGCAGCGGCGTCATCCGCGGCCCGCCCTCCTGCCGCGACTCCATCAGCAGCTTCCCGCCAAACGAGCACTCGCCCACGGCACACGCAAGCATGTAGGCGTCCTCCGCCGTATTCACAACGGTGCCGGTGAGGAGAATCGGGGCCTGGGCGTTCTTCTTCTTGGGGTCGTTTTCCCCGGTCACGCTGCTCTCGTCGATCACCACGCTGAGGCCACGCACGTAGAAGCCGTCGACGGGCACCACGAGGCCGTTTGACAGGCTCACAAGGTCCCCCACGACGATCTCCGTCACGTCAATCACCCGCTCGCTCCCGTCACGGATCACGGCAATCGGCTGCGCCGAGTTCTCCTCCATCAGCCGCTGGAACTTCAGCTCTTTGCGGTAGTCGTTCACGGACGACACCGTCGTCACGATCAGCACGGAGGCAAGGATCGCGAAGCCCTCAATCCACCCCGTCTCGCCGTGCACCTTGTCCTGGCCGGGCTCCGGGACCGTCAGCCCAAGCACAAGCGAGACGAGGGCGGCGCCGCAGAGGAGGAGGATCATGCGGTCGCTCCACGCCGCCCTGTAGATCGCCCAGAACGACAGCGCCTCCTCCTCCGGCAGCTCGTTCTTGCCAAAGACCGCGCGCCGCCGCTCCACGGTGTCGGCCGTGACACCGTTACGAAGGTCGGTGTGCAGCTTCGCGGCAATGCCCTCCGCCCTTCCCAACCTCTCATACAGCTCCATGCCCTCGTTGGCGCGGGCGAATACTTCCATAAGAGTCTCCTTGAGTGGCGGGCCTAACGGCTCGCTGTAATCCGTGGCGTCCACCACCACCGCCACACCAGCGTCCTCTGCACGAAGTATCGCCTGACATTCCACCTCATCGTTCAGTTCCCGTGCATTCATCGCCAAGCCAAGGGCTTTATAGGGCGCCTCCGCGCTCTGTACGCAGAACCTCTCAGCTTCAGCCGCGTTAAAGCAAGTAATGTGTTTAGATGTACCCGTAAAGCCTCTTTAAGTTGTTACTCGCGTGTTTCTCGTTCCTTG